TTTTTTTTTTCAATCACATATTTTTCAATAAAATAATATTACATACAAATTCAAAAAAAAAAAATTCTTATTTTTCAATCACACATTTTTCGTTAATTCATTATTTCAAAATGCATTCTTAAGAAAATACAGGGTTCAAGCCGGCTCTAAAAAAGAAGAAGAAGAAAAGAAATAAAAATGTTGTACGACAAGGATAGCTAACCTGCTACACGTTATTTAATTTTTAGGGACGAAATATATGCATGCTGAAAACATTTTTGGTTCCAACTTAGATCAATTATTATGGGATGTTTGGTGAAATTTGGATTGACATCTGTCTCTAATTATGTGAACACAATTTTATTAATTATAATTTGCAGATGTTTACCTGTTTCGTTGGGGGTTTCGCCGTAACTACTGAATGCAACAGGTCAAAATTGGATATAATATATAACCAAAAATGTTATATTAATATTTCTTTGAAATAATATTATTTTATTGAATAATGTATGAATGAAAAGAAAAAAGATAAAAATATATTAAAATTTTTATGATGTGAATTTGACGACCTGATGCCAATTGAAAACATTAATTACATACCAAAATAAGAAACTGTTTGCTTTTATTTTTTCAACCCAGAATGCATTATATGATCATTGCCCTCCTGAAAATGGGTCTCACCATGAGATACTAAGTCAAAAAAGACGATTGTTGCCTTGTCAACAATTCAAAAACTTATTAAAATGGGGATTAATTTAGGAAAAAAAAACAGGCACTAAGTTGGACGCTTCAGTTTCTATCTACTGTTAGGAACATAGCTTTCGAATTAAGCAAGTTGTTCAAATGGAGTTTACTTTGACTACTTCTCCTTTCCAATTATGTTTTATTAGATATGTCGAATGAGCAATCACCAAATGAGAGCAGGTTGCTCGTAGAAGTATGCTTGATGTACAATATTGTTGACAATATGTCACGTGACATGTTGTCATTTGATAATTTAAGAAATAATTTATCTTTCTGACCAATGTATTTTTTGTCACATATGACATTGTTGACAATGTTGTAAAAAAGTATTTTACAAATAGATTTATCCTTCTACGAAATAAGTAGTTGGAAAGTGGATAATTTTGTGGTTCAACACAATGTGTAATTAAAATTAATTATAAACTTTGACTTCAACTTTAGCAACTTTTTTTATTTTTCCGAACAAGCAATAAGGGTTCATTTGGCAAAATTTTCTCTTTTAAAATTTTGTTTTTTGTAGAAGAGTTTTCTGAAGAAGCCACCTAAAATATCTCGCTCTATAAACTCTTTTAGTAGGACAAAATAATTTTAAAAAATTGTCTAAAAATATTCAAAAATAAATAAAAACTAGTCCTATTAGAATCAATTTTAGAATTTTCAAAAACATTGCTGAATGGGCCATAAAGCTATTTTCATTTTGAGGAAATTACACCTAGACCTGGATTTAAAATACCATTTTCAAAAATCATGAATCAAGATTCATACTACAAAAATCAAGTTTTAATTAATAATTCAAAAACAATTTTTATTTTTATTTTTAAATCAAGTTTCATTTTATAAAAATCAGGTTTTAATTAATAATTTAAAATCTTTTTTTCCTTATTTTTATTTTATTTTATACTAATCAAACCTAAAAACTAATTCATTTGAAGAAAGCACTCTCTTACCGTCTCTCCATTTTCTCCCTGCATGGCGCGCCCACCGCCCACCACATCTATCGTCCCTCTATCTTCTCTCTTTCCTCTCTGCGATGTCGCTGTCGGCTTGGTGAAGGTGAACTAGTGGTGTCGCGCGCCCAGATCTGTTCTCTGTCTTCTCTCCCTCACTGCATTGTTGGCACCTAGATCTTTTTTTTTTTAATTTTATAGTTTTTGTCTCTTTCTTCATTGCGATGTCGCTGTCGGCTTGGTGAAGGTGAAGCAGTGGTGTCGCGTGCCCAGATTTGTTCTCTATCTTCTCTCCCTCACTGCGTTGTTGGTGCCCGATCTTTTTTTTTTATATAGTTTTCGAGTTTGATTTGTCGGATAGTTGTGGTGGTTGCAAATCTATTGGGTGAGTATGGGTGGCAGTGGTGCGGTTGGGTGTGGCGGTTGGGTGTTGGTGCGTGAGGCGACGGCAGTTGTTGGAGTAGTGTTGAGATCGTGGTTTTTGTTGTTGTTGGAGCGGTGTTGAGAAACGGTTGTGTTGGTGTTGGTGGCATCGTCGTCGCTGCCGGCTTGGTGATGGATGCGATTTTGGGGGTGGTGATGGTGGCGAGGGAGGGTGTGGTGTTTGATTTGTTTGAGATGTTAATGTTGCTATTGGGCGACAACGGTGGTGGTGCCGCTGTTGGAGGTAGTGGCGAAGTGGTCACAAATGATTTGGTTGGTTTGTGACCAATAAACAATTTGTGACCAATGAATTTGATAAATTGTGACCAGTACAAGCTGTATGACCTAAAAATTATTAATTCGTGACTTAAAAATTGTTAATTTGTGACCATAAAATAAGTAACGTAACTTTTAAATTTTGTAATTGTGACTTTTAAATTTTTTAAATTGTGGTCGATAAACAAATTGTGACCTATGAAATTTTTGAATTGTGACCTAAAAAGTGGTGAAATGGTCATCGGAATACTCGTCGGAATCGGAGCAGTCGTCGAAACGGCCACCAAAAGATCGCCGAAAAAGAATGGTGATCGAAAAGATTGCCGGAATAGTCATCGGAGCTGTATGGATGGTGGAGGTGAGGTGGGTTAATTATATTATATTAGAATTAAATATTTAATAATTTATAAATTAAAATTAAAAAAAATTGATTTTTAAAATTTGAAACTTGTTTTCTTTTTGAAATGACACATATCGTCGGAATCGGAGCAGTCGTTGAAACGGCCACCAAAAGATCGCCGAAAAAGAGTGGTGATCGAAAAGATTGCCGGAATAGTCATCGGAGTTGTATGGGTGGTGGAGGTTTGGTGGGTTAATTATATTATATTATAATTAAATATTTAATAATAAATTGATTTAATAATTATTGTTTTCATAAATAAAAATTTAAAGAAACTTGATTGTTGAAATCTAAAACTTATTTTTATATTTTTGAAATTGATGAAAGTAAATACTTGATTTATATATTGTTCCCTTTCATTTTCCTCTTCCAACTTTGATGCTCGTTACCCAAGTTCCTCAATATGAATTTGGGCTTCATACAAAGAAAGTAGTCTCCATCAGCCCAATATGTTTTTGGGATATTTTGGCAGCGTAAAATTCTGTGATTCTACAATCTACAACAATTCCTTCCCATTTTCTCGAGATTTTCTCGGCCATCTTCCTCTTCACTTGCCCACCCATTCCACAAGGATGGCCATGAATAATCTTCTATTCACCACTTCACCAATATCTCACAAGCAACTCCTTTGCACATTCTCTTCATTGCCAATTCACACACTCAGCTACTCACCATCACCTCCGTCTCTTCACTTTCCTACTTTGCCCTCGAGAAAACCAAGAAGTTCCATCTTCACCGCCCAATCTAAGGGGAGCGATTCAGTTGATGCCCCTGACCGCTTAATCTCGGCCATTACTTACTTTTACCCCTTTTTTGATGGCATACAGTATGGAAAATATATCATTACACAGTTCAGTCCCTTTCAGACAATCATTCAACCCTTAGTCCCAGCAATTAAGGTTTTCAAAAGCTTCCCTTTTAATGGGTTTTTGGTTTTCTTGACCCTTTATTTTGTTGTTGTGAGGAATCGCAATTTCAGTAGGTATGTGAGGTTCAATACTATGCAGGCTATAGTTCTTGACGTGCTCTTAATTTTCCCTGATCTTTTGGAGAGGACTTTTAATCCAAGAGATGGGGTGGGCTTGGAATTGATGATGAGCTTGGATAGCACCGTGTTCTTGTTCCTCTTGGTGTGCTTGATTTATGGCTCATCCTCTTGCTTTTTTGGACAAGTCCCCAGATTGCCCCTTGTTGCTGAGGCTGCTGATAGGCAAGTTCTTTGAATTATGATTCTTGTACTCATTTGGTAAATTCAGTAATTTTTCTTCGTCATATTGTTAAATTTTAAGTAGTTTGTATGCTTTAGCTAGTATCTAGTTCTGTATTCTGGATGAAGGAAGAAGATTGAAATGATAATTGCATTTCGTTTTATGGGATTCAGACATAGAAGGGATAATTGATGTTAACTTGAGGATACCCTTGGTTGATTGTGTTGAAAGGATTTAAGGTACAATATTCAACATGCAATGTATCTGTTCTGTTATGATCAAGCTTTATTTTTGGTATGTTTATCTTTGGACTCTTCCCTTTGTTTCAGTTTGGATACTTGGATGATGATCTGTGCATTTAAATGAATGCAAGTAACAATGACTTCTCGAATTAATCATAGCTAACCTTGCTATTCCCCAATGTACTTTTTATTTTTCAATTTGGTATCTGGTTTTCGAGCTTCTAAAGCTTGTTTCTATAAAATACGTAAGCGTCTCTTCATATGGATGCTTATATGCTCTTGACCGTGGCTGTGAAAGAGTGACTCATATTATTGCATTTTTTGCTAGGTTTGAGGTCACCACCTAATTGTTTGGACATTAAGCCATTTAATGTTGGAAATACTAGCCAAAGGCGGTCATTCAATTAGGAAAATATGCATAACTAGACTATGAGCTAAGCAGTTTCTCCTCAGTTTTGGATTGAATTTGCTGACATTATCGTCAATCTTTTATTTTCGTTTTATTTTGGATAATGTGAACCTAGAATTGCTTTTATTGCACCTTTAGACCGAGCCCCCCTTGTAAGTCTTTACTACTGGATCACATTTGAAAGTAGGAGTTTGGAAAGAGGTTTTCCAATCAACTAGTGGTTGAACCATTTCCGCTCCTTCGAGACTTAAAGGGCGTAATGATCCGAGTTTCTTTATCTTTCTTTGTGAGGCTCTGCACTTCGATATTTCTCCCATTTCATTTGTTCGTCACGAGGATCTATGGTGAATCTACAACTCATAGAGTCTGGATTGTCAATCACTATAGAAAGGAGAAGAATAGAGAAGACCATCACTATATTGGTTATGTAGCAAAATTTTAAGTTGGGAGTTTATTTATTGTCATTGCATTGAACCAATTAGTGTTAAATAGGTTTAGGGCCTGGGGTGGGGGATAATTCCCTCATGGACTATGCCATGGTGAGCATATCTTGGGCCTTGAAGCTCAGACATCATTGATCCAATTAGAGAAATTGATATAAATAGCACTAAGCCCCTGTTTGTCTATCATTATTCTAAAAAATTGTTTGTTAAGTAAGTTTCTCCAACACACATTCACTCAATAAAATGTTCTACACAAAAACCAATAAAGTTATTTTACTTTTCAGCCACACATTCTCCAAAAAATAATATTCATTACTCTATTTTTTTTCTAATAATGGGGGACAAACACACCCTAAATTGTGTGAAAAAAAAAATGGTTTACCAGTCTTGTGTAGTTTTCACTTCTGTGCTTATTTTTTCTTCTCTTATTTGGACATTTCATACTAGAGGTTGGTAGCTGGAATATTAAAAGCAACAATCGTGCTGCATGTACAGAAATGGTTTACAATTTTTTTGACAGATTGTTAGCTGGCAAGATTTCATTGACTGTTAGACAAAAAACACAATTGAACCAGCCAATGTAGTGTTACCATCTGTATATCTGTAATGCTTTCCGTAAATTTCATCCGTACAGGGAGCTTAATTCTAAAACCAAACATTTTGATAAGACATACGGTATAATCCTAAATATTGTTTAATATTCAAAACCTTAATTTGTGTGTGACCAATATGTCATGTACCAAACGAATCGTAACCGACAACTGAGAACCCGGAACTTGTATGAGCCAGACGCACCTTTTGTCGGTGGAGGCATCTTCCTAAACACCCTTTAAAACGCCAGCTGGCAAACTAGAGTAGCTCACACCCATTGATTTTTCAAAAAAGCCCTTGCACTTTTCACGTTATGCCATAATACGCCCACCTATTCAAAAAATTGTTTGTTACAGTAAGATTCTCCACCACATATTCACCCAATAAAATATTCTACACACAAATCAATAAAGTTACTTTACTTTTCAACCACACATTCTCCAAAAAATACTATTCATTACTCTATTTTTCTCCTAATAATGGGGAACAAACACACCCTAAATTGTGTTTAAAAAAAAAGTTTACCAGTCTTGTGTAGTTTTCACTTCTGTGCTTATTTTTTCTTCTCTTATTTGGACATTTCATACTAGAGGTTGGTAGCTGGAATATTAAAAACAACAATCGTGCTACATGTACAGAAATGGTTTACAATTTTTTTTGACAGATTGTCAGCTGGCAAGATTTCATTGACTGTTAGACAAAAAACACAATTGAACCAGCCAATGTAGTGTTACCATCTGTATATCTGTAATGCTTTCCGTAAATTTCATCCGTACAAGGAGCTTAATTCTAAAACCGAACATTTTGATAAGACATACTGTATAATCCTGAATATTGTTTAATATTCAAAACCTTAATTTGTGTGTGACCAATATGTCATGTACCAAACGAATCGTAACCGACAACTGAGAACCCGGAACTTGTATAAGCCAAACGCACCTTTTGTCGGTGGAGGCATCTTCCTAAACACCCATTAAAACGCCAGCTGGCAAACTAGAGTAGCTCACACCCATTGATTTTTCAAAAAAGCCCTTGCACTTTTGACGTTATGCCATAATACGCCCACCTCAAATACGCGTCTCTTTCTCTGTTTTTTCCTTTTATTTTATAGAAATTTGGGCAAACTCAAAAACAAAAAGAACAGAGGCACAACCAAATCGAAAATGCTTTTGAAAGGAAAAAAAAACAAGAATTTTGCTATTTCTACACAGATCTTTTAGGAGTTGTTCTCTTTGTGTTTCTGTTTTATGTTTTGAGTGTTCATTTTGAAATTGTTGAAAATGTGTACTTTTTGGCATATTGAAAAATTGTTTTGAAAATACCCAAAATGTATTTTGAAAATTTTGGTTTGATTATAATTGAAAACACCCAAAACGACAAATTTTTTGTTGAGTTTTCTTTGTAAATTTTTAACTTGTTTTCAAAAACGCGTTTTCGAAAATAAAAAAAAAGAACGCGTTTTCAATGTTTTGAAAATTCGAAAATAGAAAATGGCTTGAAAATGATAAAGTAAACAGACCTTTATATTTTGGTTGACACTTGCATTGTTGTCAAGTGTCAATTGGATGAAAAGATTGTTTGAAATTTAAACTATCTAATTGAGTAATGTCACGTTGCGCAGAATGTAACCGTAGAAAGGTTCAAAAAATAAAAAAGATTGACAAATGTGGACCAACCCTCTCTCTCGCTCTCTCATTACCTTTGTGGCTTGGTTTGTTAGAATATTTTCACTATAGTTAATATTTTTTAAGCATTGTTATACTTATCAACTTATGTTATGATTTGTATTCTTCTAGTGCCTATTTGTTCGCAATGTATGTATTTGATAGAAAGGACAAAATTGAAGAAAGAAAGCAAATAAGAAGATGTCTGGATATAGTTGAGTGTCATGATAAACAAGTCTCGAGTACAAGGGAGTTGCATTTCATTCACGATTTCGGTCAATTTGTTTACAAACATTTGATGCTCAAAATGTTAGACAATACCATACTATCTTTTGAGTCTAGGTTTAGATCAGAACTCTCCCATCAACCAACTTCTTGGAAATTTTCCATCAAAAATGAGAATTTGTAGAATAGGAAGAAATAAATAGTAAAATGAATAAATAAAGAACAAATATCATACTTGTGTTGTGGTATTTGGTATAGTATTCTTGCCTTCATCTGATGCTTAACCCATGTTAGCTGTTCCCAGCTTTTCCTTTCTTCCTCTCATATTTATGCATCGTACTGCAAAAGATTCTGTCTGTTGTATATTAAAATCAGATTTTTAGTAGATTTTGATAGAAACTGATGAAATGTGTGATTGAAAAATTGTGGATCCCATGAAATGTATGATTAAAATTAATTGTTGACTTTGACTTGAGATTAAAATCAAATTTTAATTTGTTCCAAACAGTGGCTTATTTTTATCAAATTCTCCAATCTTAATTTCATAAATAGGGATTTGAAGTTAGTTTGTTTCCTATCAAATTCATTAATTGGATTGTTAAATAATTAATGTCTTTTTTAACCCTGAAGGGTTGCTCAATTGGTCAGGTCTTGGGTTTGCTCTCAAATGGTCACTAGTTCGAGTCCCCGAAGGGCCACTGAGGTGAGTACTCGATCGTAAACTTCAGGATCCCGTAGAATTAATTGAGCTGCGCGCAAACTGGCCTGAACATCCATAGTAATAAAAAAAAAATAATGTCTTTTTAATCTTTAATAAACTGTCGGCTTCACCAAACGAAAATTATCCAAAAATAATATTAACGTCGTTGAAAATGAAAAGTTTTGTTTTGGAATCCACGCAGTGGCATTAGCTGTAATTTACTCTCAAAATCTCAACTCATTTCTATAAGGAAAAGTCTAAGTGTACATAAGTAACCGTAGAAAGGTTCAAAAAATGAAAAAGATTGACAAATGTGGACCAACTCTCTCTCTCGCTCTCTCATTACCTTTGTGGCTTGGTTTGTTGGAATATTTTCACTATAGTTAATATTTTTAAAGCATTGTTATACTTATCAACTTATGATATGATTTGTATTCTTCTAGTGCCTATTTGCTCGCAATGTATGTATTTGATAGAAAGGACAAAATTGAAGAAAGAAAGCAAATAAGAAGATGTCCGAATACAATTAAGTGTCATGCTAAACAAGTCTCGAGTACAAGGGAGTTGCATTTCATTCACGACTTCGGTCCGTTGGTTTACAAACATTTGGTGCTCAAAATGTTAAGACAATACCATACTATCTTTTGAGTCTAGGTTTAGATTAGAACTCTCCCATCAACCAACATCTTGGAAATTTTCCATAAAAAATGAGAATTTGTAGAATTAGGAAGAAATAAATAGTAAAATGAATAAATAAAGAACAAATATCATACTTGTGTTGTGGTATTTGGTATAGTATTCTTGCCTTCATCTGATGCTAAACCCATGTTAGCTGTTCCCAGCTTTTCTTTTCTTCCTCTCATATTTATGCATCGTACTGCAAAAGATTCTGTCTGTTGTATATTAAAATCAGATTTTTAGTAGATTTTGATAAAAACTGATGAAATGTGTGATTGAAAAATTGTGGGTCCCATGAAATGTATGATTAAAATTAATTGTTGACTTTGATTTGAGATTAAAATCGAATTTTAATTTGTTCCAAACAGTGGCTTATTTTTATCAAATTCTCCAATCTTAATTTCATAAATAGGGATTTGAAGTTAGTTTGTTTCCTATCAAATTCATAATTAATGTCTTTTTTAATCCTGAAGGGTTGCTCAATTGGTCAGGTCTTGAGTTTGCTCTCCAATGGTCACCAGTTCGAGTCCCCTCAGGGCCACTCAGGTGAGTACTCGGTCGTAAACTTCAGCGTCCTGTGGAATTAATCGAGCTGCGCACAAACTGACCTGAACATCCACAGTTATAAAAAAAAAATAATGTCTTTTTAATCTTTAATAAACTGTCGGCTTCAACAAACGAAAATTATCCAAAAATAATATTAACGTCGTTGAAAATGAAAAGTTTTGTTTTGGAATCCACGCAGTGGCATTAGCTGTAATTTACCCTCAAAATCTCAACTCATTTCTATAAACACCCCTGCTCATATCTTCGTCCTCCCGAAGTCTTCGCCCAGTTATCTATAGTAAAAACTCCTTCCACAAAAAAAATCTTTTTATTGATCAGAATGCAGCTCCGCCAGGCCGCCGTGGCGGTAATATTTCTACTCTTCTCAGCCACTGCTGCTGCTCACAATATCACTCGCATTCTAGCCAAGTTCCCGGAGTTCTCAACATTCAACCACTACTTAACCGAGACACATCTGGCGGAGGATATTAACAACCGGGAAACAATCACCGTGTGTGCGGTGGACAATACCGGAATGTCTGATCTACTAGCAAAACACCTCCCCATCAGCGGCATCAAGAACGTGTTGTCGCTTCACGTACTCCTTGACTACTTCGACGCCAAGAAGCTACACCAGATCACCAATGGCACTGCACTAGCCGCCACTATGTACCAAGCCACCGGTTCCGCCTCCGGATCCTCCGGCTTCGTCAACATTACAGATATGAAGGGAGGAAAGGTTGGCTTCTCCCCTAAGGACAACAGCGACGTCATTCACGCTACCTTCGTCAAATCCCTCGACGAAATCCCCTATAACATCTCTGTCATTCAGATCTCTAACATATTACCTTCTTCCGATGCCGAGGCGCCTACACCAGCCCCCAGCCAGCAAAATATCACAGCTATAATGTCTTCTCACGGCTGCAAAGTTTTCGCCGAAACTCTCCTCGCTAATCCTGCTGAAAAGACATATGAGGACGCTGTGGATGGTGGATTAACCATTTTCTGCCCTGGAGATGATGCCATGAAGAATTTTTTACCCAAATATAAGAATCTAACTGCTGCAGGAAAGCAAGCTTTACTAGAATTTCACGGAATGCCGATTTATCAGTCACTATCAGGTTTAAAATCGAGTAACGGCATCACGAACACATTGGCCACTGATGGCGCGAATAAGTATGATTTCACCGTACAGAATGATGGTGCTGAAGTAACATTGAAGACGAAGCTCATTACGGCAAAAATCATCGATACTATAATCGACGAGCAACCATTGGCCATTTTTTCGCTGAATAAGGTGTTGTTGCCGGAGGAATTGTTCAAGTTAGCTCCTACGCCTGCACCGGCACCAGCTCCTGAGGCTGATGCTGACTCTCCGGCCCCTTCCAAGAAAAAGCACAGGTCTCCGCCAGCGCCGGCTGTTCCATCTGACTCACCGGCTGATGCACCCGACGGGGATGCAGCGGATCAGACTGCGGACAATAACAGAGCCGTTGGATACAATGGGGGAAGATTTGTGGTTGTAATTTTCGCTCTCTGGTTTGTATTTTGACAGTAGTTGGTTCATTGAATTTTTATTTTTTTTTCCTTTTTGGTGATTGGTTTTCTCTTTTCTACCCATGTGAAATAAGCTAGCCCTGTTTGATCTTTTATTTATTTGTTTTTAATTGGTAATCATGTTTGTGAGAAGATTTACGGACCGTCTTACTTTTTGTTATATTGAATTAATAGAAAAATATTCAAAAAATTTATTTATTTTGGAGTTATTTTTCATTTTGTTTTCAAATTAATGTTTTTATGCACGAACGTGTATTCTACACATGGAACCAAACAACCAGACAAGGTGGTCATGATTCAGCTCGATTCAATTCAATTAAAACGTAGAATTAAAAATTGGGATAATTAGTACAGAACGTCTATATCTTTCAATATTATTATAAAAAATTATTAACACACAAAAAGTGTAACCTAAATTGAATAATTCAAGGGATGGAGCCCAACTGGGATGTTTAGTATAAAAGTCCAAATAGGATCATTGATGAATGCAATGAAGGCCTACGAACTAAGTAACATTATCGCTCAAACTTGCAAGATGCCCAGAATCTGAGCGAATATGATCGCCCAGAGCGATTACCTCGTTCTCGTCCAAACTTTCGAATCGCCAAGAATTTTAGCAAACATAAGATATTATGGTTATACAGAACAGCAGTTATTAAAGCAGTTATTGAGCAATCTTATCACACTCCACGATTCAAGGATCCCAGTTGCAGAAGGTTGAACGACGAGAGTAATGACAACAGTTAGAGACGGCAATTCCACGACAAGTCAGCCATCATGAAGAAAGTTGATAGTTATAGAGCAATCGACAGTTTCCAAACGGTTTGTCACGAAAAAATTATCAAAGAAGTATAAAAAGGAAGAGAAGACATAAAGAAAGGATCCCGAATCAAACACTCTAAATAGAGAATATGTAATTTCAATTTTTTAGTTTAATTTTAAACACTTCTTTTGGTAGTTGTGTGCTTGCGCCCCTTGGAGGCATTCTGTTTATTTCCAATTGTAAATCATCGTCAATAAAA